AGAAGTAGTACACGGGAGTGCAGGCAAGGATCCACGCATTTGTAATTTCTCCACTAGACCAAGGTCAGTTTCACTTCTCAGCTGTTATATCGTCGGAAAGCGTTGGGAAGGAGGTTAATAGGGCCCCAGTGTTGGACATGACGTGGTACATGCGCATCTCTTGGAAATCGAACATCAAACGTCCTGCCCATAGCTAGTCAATACCCGCACTGACTTATCCTGGTTCATAGGGCATTTATATGTTCATTAAAATCCCTCCACTGGGACATATCCTGAGTCAGCAGTTCTGCCAAAGATCCATTTCAAAACATTCCCTTTGAGAATTTTCGTCATGACTGTATTTCTCCAATGCTTGCTACATTACCCGTGATTTCATTGCTCTAATCGTAGTTGGTTGAGGCAGTATGCTACAAGCCGGAAGGTCGCGGGTTCAAGTCCCGATGAGGTCATTGAATTTTTTTCAACTGACCTAATCCTTCCGGCTGCATTATGGCTCTGGGGTCGATTCAGCCTCCAACAGAAATGAGTACCAGGAATTAATTAAATAATTTTCCTGGGGAGTAAAGCTCGGCCGGCGCGTAAGGCAGACAACCTTACCGCCATCTTTGAGCCGACTGACTAGATAATGTGGGACCCTCAACGTCTCACAACCCTATGATCCTTCACGGCCTGGTACAGGGATGGCTTTACTCACTTTAAGAAAAAGTTCATTATATGAACAGTAAACATCATGAAGCTTCTCACTGTGTAATGCCCCTGTTTTTACAGTATCATATCATTGAAATGTCAAAACGATCTGTCTTCATTTATAATAAACTATCAATTTATTTATATTTCATACCTTATATCGTGGTGATTAATCATCGACTTTTCAGTACGAAGACCACAATAAATTCCAGAGCAAGTAATACTAAGATTGTCTTTGATAAAGTGTTAATACAAAATATAAAGTGAAGTTAAAGTACCCAGTTTGTAATTAAACACTGCGCCTTGAGACATATGAAGACTGTGGAGACAGCTCACATATCCTTAAGCTCGACACTAGATCGAGCTTCAACCCTCGGCTGCTATATCCCTGTACAAGAGCCCTGGTATTCACTGGAACGCAAAGCCAGTGTGGATACGGTGGTGGAGAGAAATACCTCTTCCTACTGGGAGTCGAACTTCGGCCTTCTAGTCCACAGCTAGTCACTCTAATGACTGAGCTATCCCAGCCCTATTTACCGTAAGTGAAAGCAGAACATATAAGGAGTTTTCAATTCAGGGTATTCGGCCTTGCTATAAGTCCCAATGGGCGGAATTTCATATTATGGAGCTAGTCTCCTCTTTTATCTTTAAAAATTAAACACCTGTTCCATGTAGCACAACAGAAATATTTAAAACTCTACGAATACCGAAAAAGGGAACCAATTTAAATACAGCTAACGCCTGCAGCACTCTGATTAGACTACGTGGTATACATTGATGTCGGAGTTGTTGCAGCATCAGCGCGGCTAACTAAATTCTTCAAGGCGGGGGATGTGACATTACCCAAATTTCCCTCACATCTAAGCACCGTACGCCCGTATAAAAACACTCTAGGAGTATTAAAAATCTATCCAGCCATCCCCTTAAGAATAAGCGCATCCACAATCTATTATCACAACCCCTTAAGAACAGCTTCCAAGCGAAAGCTTATGAAACGAAATCGTAGTTTTCAACTGTCTGCCAATTCATTAATAATTCGTATTTAACCTTTAAGCCTACTTACATATATTTTATTGATTTGACTGTCATCTCTTTAACGCACAGTAATTATTGCACACACCGCCTGCTTTTTTACATTAAAAAGAGTATGCTCTTTGCTCACAGAGTGCATCTACGTGTGTCAAACGGCTCTCAGAATATGGAGGGATTATTACTTTAATGTGCATTAACTGGCTGGCACTTGTCATAGAGACGCAGTGCGATCAGCGTGAGATAGAAACTAAAGTTTATGCTTGAAAGGGTTAAGGGCGGAGACAGAGATAAATCCAGTTAGTAGTAAGTACATAATGTTGTCATATAAGTCACTTCTGCCAAAACACAGTGGCTGTAATAGTTAGTTAGTTAGTTATTGGAGAGGGTGGGTTTCCCCATGCACTTAGACCTGTATTGGTCCATTGTGCTTCCCTCTATGATTTCTACCAGTCTCTATATCCTACCGGTACTGGTGCTTACCATCAGTTCCGCCCAGCCAGCGAGACCGGCTCTACTAGCTGAGAGGTATCTATAATGCTTCCCCCATCTACCAGAGGTATTAGAGACTGCTGTTGGGCGGGAAATGTCCTTGAATTTAGCTCAGTGACCTCCTTTGGAGATACGAGGTTCTTTTACGTGCCGTAAAGCTATGACACGGGACCCACGGCTTAAAGTCACTCCCGGAGGACTTCTTCCCTGAATTTTTCCGCCCTTAAAAATTCGACGACCTCCGCCGGGTATTTGAACCCGCGGACTACGAGTCATGAAGTGGGAACGTTACCTCTAGACTACGGAGGCCGCTGTGGCTGTAGTAGAGGTGTATTTTACTTTTACGCAGTTGGAGCGTGAAACTGGTCCATTTTTGTGACGACCGAAGGTAATTCGCAAAATTCCTAGGTTTTTGGACGTTTCCCATCGTCCGCTATTCTATAGAAAAAACGACGTTTCGGAAACTGGATCTGTTTCCGTCCGCAGTGAATAAGATTAGCTCTTTCTAAGAGGTCCACCTGAGTAGGTGTCCTCTATACCCTTCACCTGAGGACCGAAACAGATCTAGTTTCCGAAACGTCGTGTTTCCTATTCTCTAGAACACCGGACAATGGAAAAAGTCCAAAAACCCAGTAATTCTATATGTTACACATCATGGTCAGAACCCTTTAGTAGATAATTCTTTACAGCACAGTGGTAACTATTTGTACCACCCACTTTAACATTAAAACACTGCATTTTTGCTCGCACTGTGTATACGTCTTTTGTATGATTAGCAGACTAATTATAGACATCTTAAAAAAACAATATTAACCGAGCAGTCTTTGTAACTGGAGAGGGGATGCGTTTTCTGTGAGGTACGAATTGAATTTACAAATATCACTTAGCATACCCAGGGCTCATACGTGTACCTATAACAATATAGTGAGTATACTCCACTCTCTCAGACTCTTTTATGGGGCGCTGCTTCAATGAAACGGCTTCTCCTTACTAGTACCACTACACAAGGGACTGGAGCAGGGATAGCTCAGTCGGTATAGCAACGGGCTATGGATTTGATGGCCGACATTAATTCCTGGCAGGAACAAGAAATGTATCTCTACGTCACAGCAACCAGACACGTTCTGGGGTCCACCAAGCCTCCTATCTAATGGGTACCGAGGGCTCTTTTCCTTGGGGTAAAGCGGCTGGGACGTGAAGCTGATCACTCACCTCAAACTAGTGCAGAGTTCAAGAATGGTGGAGATATACTTGCATTACCCCATAAGTTAGCATAGCGAGGTGGTTAAACAATTTAGCACAGGAACAATTTGGCTTCAACCAAAATATTAATGAATCGCTTGATTAATCCGGATGCTCTGAATATCATGGCCGTATCCGTGTTGCGGGAGAATATTAAATGAATCCTTGAAAATATTGTAGTTTGTAGGCCCGTTACTTGATACCGATCGCAAACGAACAGGTTTCCACGGCAACGAGCTAACACGCAACAACAGATGAACTGTTGTAAGTGGTGTTTTCTCTGGTCCGCGCCGCAGCAGCTGCTACGCAACGGCGCGGCATACATGTCTCTGCAGCAACAGTTGAACTACAGAAGTATAAGAGTTGTGTTTTATATGTGGCCCGTGCCGAGGGGTTATATGCGGGACGAAGTTTAGAGCTGTCAGTCAGTTAAGAGAAGACTAAGAGGTTGGTGTGAAATGGCCGCCGGCCTGGAGGTTAGTCAGTTGAAGCAGCGAGAGTTGTAAGGGATCCAGTGAAGAAAAGACTTAGTTCAGTTGTGAGACGGTGGCCGGCCGGCGATGGCGTGAGCGCGAAGTTGAAGAATCTCTACTGTTAGAAGCCGTCACCAGGAAAAGGCTAGTGGAGACTGTAACAGACTGAGAACACTAGTCTGTGTGCTCTGGTGATTTGTAAAGTGTGATCAGCGAAGATGCTATAATTAAGTGCAGTCATGATTTGTGTGTTAAAGGGGAAAATGGATCCAATCTTGAATCTAAAACCCCGTCGATGGTCACTCTAACATGTGATGATATTATCGCATTTGAACTTGTAACCATATTCAGTTATAATGTTGTTAAACCTGTGACTAAAAGGTATAATTAAATTAAAGGTATGAAGATATAAACTATTATTATAAGTCACCTAAACATCCTGTAATAGGAAACAAAATGTAATCTTTATCTGCAATATCTCCTACCAATATTAATTTGAATGTTACTTGATGCGGAAAAAAGAAGGTACTCATAAATTATATACTTAAACTAGTACATTAAAAGGCAACAACAAAAACTCCATGACTTCGTAAAATCTCTATTAATTTTGCGTTATCAACTTAACCGCGGAATGAGGGACGCGGAGGTAGTTTCTTCATCTAATATCTTTTCTTTTTAATTCGCTTAGTGGGGCGTGGAGTCAAACTGGGTCCACTCGGCACGGCCGCCACTGGTTGGCCTATTGTAGCCTGCCCCGGGTGATTATGATGATGGAGAATTTGGTGGAATGAAGATTGGCAGGGGAAACCGAAGTACTCGGAGAAAACATGCCCCAGCGCCACTTTGTCCACCACAAATCCCACTTGACCAGACCCGGGATCGAAACCGGGCCGCCGCGGTGGGAAGCCAGCGACTAACCGCTTGAGCTATGGCGCGGCCTATCTAATATCATAGTCATTAGGAACAGAAAAAACATGCACAGGTTTCACAGTATTGCAATGGTTCTCTCTTACAAAGCGTCAAACAACTGGACAGATGCACAATTTGACTGGTGTTAGCAAACACAGAAGGCCGTACCTGAGAGCGCCTGCGTTAGGAGCGGAGTGTTATTGTTCGGGGTGAGCTGCCCATTCGTTAGATCCACTAGAAGCAAACAGAACAAGCGAAACACGTTTTATTATCACCAAGAACATAATAATCAGTTAGCACTCATAATGCAGCAACATCACAAGGAAAGAGAATTACAACAGCTGTTCTCAAGTCGCCATAGTCTATTACATTGTTTGTCCATATTCTAAATTCTTCTGAAATTTTCTTAACGTAAGCATGACTGACTGTTAAAGGAACTCCAACTATTAAAACTGTTGATGCACAATAAAATGGATACAAACTGTGGACTTAAGCATTTATTATAAACATTGATTTATAATACTCTATGAACTTTCACTCAAATATAAAATTCATATTATCCCAAGGCTATAAAAATTATAAAAAGGGAATGTTATGACTAAAATAGGATATTATGAAGTTTCATTTTTAAATGAAAATTACGACTAATATGTTACAGGACCTGCCATGTTTTACAGGTTCGAAATGGGATTATCTAAATTTTCTTGAAAGTTGTTCCCCATACAAGACATAACGCAGCTGTTAGTCCTTTATGAGTTGTTCTTAAACGATGTGCAACGAACACTGAAATGTTTCTTGTTCCCTCATGTGCATGTCCCATAACTTTAAACGCCCATTAATCAATGAAGTTACAAACTATTAAGCTAGTCCAATTACGTTTCTGAACATTATCCATCGCCCTGTTTTTATATAAAAACATCGTCCTGTTTTACATTTTAAAACGTTTCAGAGACTGGATTCTGTATCCGTCTTCAGGTAAAACCTACTCAATTGGGCCCACTCGATAGAGCTACTCCCTACCAATCTCCGAAACAGGTTTTTGAAACATGAACCGGACGATGTTTTTAGATATAAACAGGACGATGGATAATGACCGGGACACATAATAGTTGTACTATTGTACCATCGTCACAAACTGTTAGATCTTATTTACAATAAGCTACTCACTAGTTAATCATATATATATATATATATAGTATATACACGTATATGTTCTGCTGAGCTGCGTATATTCGCCTAAGTCCACTGTGTTCAATCCTCACAGATTCAATAGGCTATTTGTATGTATGTCTTCAAGTAGTTAAGAACAGGGGCAGAAAATTACAACAGTGGAATGTACGAGTTAATATTAGAGTATCTACTTTTGGTGAAAGTTTTCTTGCCCATAGCATAATCGCCTCACTCGTGATATTATTCTATCAAGTTCAGTATCGTAGTATCAACAAATGTGTATTTATAGAAATATTCAGGTTACCTCTATCAGGCATTTCTAATAAGGGCTCTTTTTGTTTCCCGTTGAAATTTCAGCGGATTTCCGTTCTTCCCTTACACCGAAGGATCAATTTTGCTCCAAATTGGTAAGTGAGTGAGTTTTTCGTTACCAGTGTTTCCACAAATTATCCACAATTACTTACGTGAATATGTGCATCCGTGGTAAAAGGTAGAAAAAGGTAAAGCTATCCCTGTAACAGGCCGTGGAGGTCCGTAGGGTTGTGAGATGTTGAGGTTGTTCATAATTATAATAATTTCGTAAAATATACGAGCAACAATAAATATAAAGAAAGCAGTCTTCTGGGATGTGGCACCGTGTAGATGTGGTGTTAACCGACGTTTCGGAGGAACGAATCGCCTCCATCTTCAAGCTTGTACCGGTTCTCACGGTCTCTTCGCTTGCGGATTTTCTTATTTTCCTTCTACCCTGAAGATGGAGGCGATACGTTTCTCCGAAACGTCAGTTAACACCACATCTACACGGTGCCAAATCCCAGAAGACGACATTCTTCACAGTCACCGCCGTGAAATCCTCAAATCTTACAAAATAAACATGACTATGGATTTTACTTGAGAACGACTGGTTATCTGATCAAGGTTCAGTTAAAAACAGAAACTGGATATTAAATTATTACGTCACGTACTCTCCAGGAAAACATTCTGAAACAGTGCAGACAAAAACAATAAGACACTGACAAACAGAGTTTGTATCATAAAGTGATCTTTTGAAGAAGATCCAAATTTGATCAACTAGGGCTGCAACAGCTGTCTGACGCATCAAGTTCGGTAAAGTCAGAAACAGTTCCCGTTTATTCACATGGATTTAAGAAAATGGCACTTATGGTTTTGAGTAAACTGGAAAACGTGAAACATGTAAGTGGCAAATAGTTCTGGAAGAAGATTCAATAAAAACTCGCCAAGGACAATTTCCGGAGCAAACAAACTGGCTAAAGCGGTAACAGTTCTGGCTTATACTCGGGGAGACGTTGGGTTCGCATCTCAGTCGGCATATCGACTATCTGACTGAGGTGTCTCGCGAATCTGTGTAGCCCCTCGAACCCTCAAGTTACGTCAAGATCGTTTCCTACCTGATCCCTTAACATTCACTATTCATTAATCATATTACATTCCCAATCACAGTGGCCGCGTCGTCTGAGGCATGAACTGGGTTCGAATCCCACTCAAGGCATAGATGTCTATGTTGTCTGCATTTATTCTGGGTTTGTGTTGTTCTGTGTGCGGGTAGCGGTCTTGATAGGGGCTGATCCTATGTCCAAGGAGTCCTATCAACTGTGTATAGGATCAAGAAACTGAAAAAGGGGCCAAGACCCAACAAAGGGCTGTAGAGCCATAATAATAATACATTGACCATATACTCCTTTAATCTGAGTTATATACATAACAAATTAAGATATTTAATTCCCTCAGAAGAACATAAACAATTGATTAATCATATGAATTATTTTTTTGCTTTGGGTTTGTGGTTGTAATTATTCTTTTTGCTGTTGTATGGTATGTTATCTTGTTCGTTAGAGTATATATTACCCTCCAAACCCTTGTAGAATTATGACTCAATAATAGGGGACTGAAATAAACCTCACAAACCGTCAATGAACCTGAAGAAACATGCAATATCCAGTGATGCACTGGGATCATTTCATACTAGGTCACTGTATTGAGATTAGGACAGAAACCGGGATAGCTCAATTAGTACACTGACTAGGTTAAGTGGTGAAAGATCGAGGTTCGATTTCAGGTGGAGGCAAGATCGCAATATCAAGGGACTCTGCGTCACCGCTTGCCAAAATACAAGCGTACAAGCGCACATAGAGGCATGGGCCGTTTTCAGTTGAACCTTCCTTATAACAATTGCGGTTTCGATAACTATTCATTGTCATAAGGTGTGCTGGATTAAATAACAGGAATTGGATTTCTGAAAAAAATACCCTGTTCAGCATAAGTAACTTCCATGGTTACAGTTACAATAACAACCATAAATGATATGGGACAGTATCCAAGCGAAATATTTTTCTAAATCGCTTTATCTTCAAAAGTTTAATTTCTAACCTGGATTTAAAAGGGCAGATATGAAATTAAAAATATGGGAAGTTGTGTTCAACTATGTACCTCTCTTTTTTGTTATTTACGACAGTTTCCAGACCACATGGCGTCTAATCGCGGGATAACTGACGAGTGACGAATTGTAAATGATTTGGAAGGGGGTAATGGTGGCGTAGCCGAGGTGCTCTTCCGGAATTTGCCTCGAGGGACTGAATACAACCACGAACATACCCAGTCAGCATGGTCAATGTTTCCTGCCCAGATTCGAACCAGACACCGAATACAACCCTAGAGCATTATCAACATTTTTGGTCAAACCATGAATCTGTCTGCAAGTTGCATGTCCAAATTTATTTAATGGTCCTGACTCAAATTTTGTGTAAGAAGTCTATATGTAAAGTTGAGGGGGCCGACACTATTTTGATCCATATCGGTACATCATAACCCCTAATTTACATGAAGCTGAATTCAACTTTCTACAATTTATAAATAAAGAGAGGAAAGTTAGTGAGAAGTGACAAGGAATGTGTCACGAAAAATGGAATATTATGAAAATCGAAACCTTCTTTTCAACATTTTTCGATACGATGTACATGTAGCAGAATACATGAAAAAAAATTATGTACACTGTACACATTTAATACCCGTTTGTCTGTTTTCAGTAAAACTGTCAGAAAGAGAATCAATTCTAGTCATATATTTCTAGTCATATATATACAGAGTGAATCATTTATGGGTGAAGAATCGGGAGGAGAGAGTTCGAGAATTTAATACACATTATTCTTTTATTCTCCTTAGTGGGGTGAGACTGAGTCCACTTGGTACTGCAGCCAGTACTGGCCTGTTGTATCAGCCCCAGATGATAGGTTATAGTGATTATGGAGCAACTGGTAGAATGAAGATTGGCTGGGGAAACAGAAGTACTCGGAGAAAACCTTCCCCAGTGCCACTTTGCCCACCACAAATCTCACATGACCTGACCCGTGCTCGAACCCGGCCCGTCGCGGTGGGAAGCCGGCGACTAACTGCCTGAGCTATGATACGCCCTCTATTCGGTATATATACTTCAAGGGAGGTTGGAAGCCTAGTCTTTGAAACGTCAATTATGTCAAATTTAATTATTCTTTTTCAGAGGAACAACAGTTCGCTTTGCGAACATATGTCATGGTCTTTTAAATCTACTCACCATTTACAGTGAATGTAACCACACTCGTGTTTCTAATATCTTTCCAGAAAGACTATTTATTACATTCTGGAAAGAAAATATTCCACAGAGTCCATATTTTCTATACTACAGATGTCAAAATAATTCAGGACGTTCTTATGTAATTGCAAAGCGCCACATAGAAATGATTCTATATGTATATAATTCCTTAAAAACGGTATGAAAATTAAAAAAATTATCATTGGGAAGATAGGGCTTATATTCTCTCCTTCAATATGTAGTAAATTTTAAATTCTGATCAGTTCCTAACGAAATACATGATTCAGAATTAACGAATCAAATGATATATATATAATATGACAGTAAATTGAATGACATTCCAACGTTTCTAGTAACATAGTGTACAATACCACACCAGCTGGGTAACAAAGTCATTCTCTTTACTTTGCAAAGCAACATGGGAATGGAGCAACTTACAAGGAAGTAAAAACCACATTAATTTGCCAGAATACATAAT